GAAACTTACATTTATATTTAAATTTCATGACTGCATAAAGCCTCTAGAGCAGGGTATGCATACCCCTAGTGGTCTGCGAGAACATTGCAGGGGATACACAAATATATTTTATTTCTTACGCAGTAAAATTAAATAGGGCTGGGTCTGTTTTGCTTTGTGAGGACCCAAATGATAAATCAAACAAGCTTTTATCAACCAAAAAGTGAGTTTTTCTTTTATGTTTAAGTTCACCTTCAGCTTTTACACACATCAGAACCAAACAGAGAAACAGACAGAATGAAGAGAACAGACTGGGATCAGCTGTTTTTTCACACTGAGCCATCAAAGCAGCTCAGGAGTCTTGTTTAAAACAAAGTAAAACTAATTAAGTCTGTCTGAGTTTTGTTCTGTATTTTGTCTCCAATTCATCAAATTTAAATCTGACTATAAGGGAGTCACTCAAATAAATACAGCTTTATAATATGATTTTATTTGGTATTTTTTTCAATTCCTTACTAACTTCCAGGCAATATATTTATGTTTTTTTTTTTTTTTTTTGTATTTGAGATGGAAAGAATATAATGCCTAATAAATAGATGCTCAAACTTAAAGATTAAGTAAAATAGTCTTTATTTTATAATTATTTATGGTACATTCCACTTTTGGGCATTCATCAATACTTTTCACTGAGAGGGGTACTCACGGTACGAAAAAATGCCCAAGGGATACACAAATTTTTAAAAAGATTGGGAAACATTGGTCTAGGGCAGGGATCGGCAACCCAGACTGTTCAAAAACAGCCATATTTGACCAAAAAAGCAAAAAACAAATCTGTCTGGAGCCGCAAAAAAGTAAAAGTCTTATATAAGCCTCGTATGGCAACACAGGCTATTAGCCAACTATACAAAAGGGACTATGTGGGCTTAAATATATAATAAGCATTCATGATTAAATGTTTATCCTGGAGCAAAAATGTCACATCATCGATTTTTGGTGTTATTTTTGAGGATTTTGAAACATATTCGATCTATGGACGGTTTTCTATGCTTGACACCAAAACTAGCAGCAGTGGTCCAGTTTGGAGATGACATCCACTTCTCAGATGTATCTTTGCGCTCCTGTAATTTATACAGCAGTTCTGTAATCGCACTTTTTCTCTGACTCAGCTGCAAATTAAGCAGACATGCAGACAATCCTTCCACATTGGTAATGAAAGCAAATGATTTGGTCCATTCCTCTTTGAATCCTCTCTTCTCATCAGCTGTCTTCCTTTTTTCCCTTTGGAATCCATGGGCCAAAACACACCTCCTACACATCATATTAATACAAAAAAAAAATCAATCTTTTTCCATTTTTATATATTTTTGAAAAACCTCCAGGGTGCCGCAAGGGGGGCATTAAAGAGCCACATGCAGCCCTGGAGCTGCGGGTTGCCGACCCCTGCTCTAGAAGCTTCTAAAGCTTTGAAAATGGGGCAGAGGTTTACCTTTCCGTTGTAAAATAACTCTATAGATGCCTTACAGCTGACATCACAGGTGCTCAAATCTAGTTGTGGCCCATATTGAGTACCTGCTCTGATCCCCTGCATGTAAAAGATGCAGTCATGTTGTGCCGTCCATTGTGACAATAAAAATGGTGATCCAAGTATTTAATTTTACTGCTTACCAAAAGAAATGAATGTTGTGAGAGAAGACTGTCAGCGATCAGAAGGGCTGACTGGGCGCCAACTGCAAAAAGGCAGTGTACATTTCATATAAGGTGACTTTCAAAACAAGCCAGGAAGGCTGGTCTGTAGCCAGCTAGATTCAATGTGTTGTACGATTTTTTTTTTCCTGAAAGTTAACTGGTTAGATTAAAGCAATTAGAAATCTTGAGAAAGAAGTGCATTTGATATTAAGATCTGAAGCTTTGACTACAGATATCATAGTTGCGTTTAGCTGTTTAGATAATATGCCTTATTTTTGAGTTAATGACCCAGCCAACCATGAAATACAAATAGGCACTTGTGCTTTTCAAAGCTTTGCATGAGGACGGATATCAGTTGTGAAAGGGAAGATCGTGAAGCCTGTCAATTGAAGAATGTGTTGAAAAATGTTTGCAAGGACTTTGTGTGGATCGCATCCAATAACATTAGTTTTCTTGGTGTATCGTTTAAGCTTATGGAGGTTTAAATGAGAATGATCCATTCTGGTCAGAGGGAAAACACCGAAGAGCTAAGCACTCGGTACTTAATATGGCAGTCGTAAGGTAGAATCGTCATGGCGGCACGCTTCTGAAATGCATCTATAGACGGTATGGTTAGAGTGTAGTTTAGAATGAAGGGTATTGAAGCATTAGGAAACTGTAGGTCTAGTGGTTAGAGCTTCCTGAGCAAAACCCTTAACCTCACACTTGTTCCCCAAGGCGATGGATCAAATGCAGAGACTGAATTCCCCCATTGCGGGACAATAAAGTGATTTATATTTACTTTACATATTGATGTGTTCAACTGGTCTGTCTAATTCCAGACCTAAACACAAATTAGAATATGTGGCAAAAATTATGCTTGAGCTAATAACAAAATAGAAGGACCAAATATTTCAGTGTCTCAATGTACAAAACTAGAAGAAACGAAATACCAAATTCTATAAAGTAAATTGTTGATCAACAAACTATCCTTTCAGGGAGGACTCTGATTTGCAACAGTTTTGAAAACTAAATGTCACTTCCCTTCACCTAATAGTTGATCCCTTTGTGTTTCTTTCAATAAAATCCATATACCGTAAGTTTGTAGTTAATATGAAAAATGTGAATACGTTCAGTGGGGATAAATACTTCTTTTAGGCACTACACATCAGAGCAGTTATACATCTCTCTCCATTGCTGCTTGTCCTTATTTCTCCTCTTCCTCCCGTGTCAGATTTCTTTGCCCCATTTTCTTGAGATTTTCAGGCACTTGGAGATACGATCTAGCCTCTCTGGAGCCCATCTTAAAGATCCCCACTGTCACTTCAGCTTATTGCAGCCTTCTGGACAAATATGCTCATGTACACACATGGCCTCCCACTAATAACAGCAGCAGGGTGAAGCAGCCTGGATTCAGGGACTTTTATAAACACACTTCATTCTCCTAACAATTCTCTTTGATCTTTAGCAAACAAAACAGTTTGCCTGATGTGTTCGCTGCTTCCATCACTAAACTTGATCCCACCGCAATGCACTTTTCCCACTTCGATTTCCCAGCCCATAAATAAAGCACACTTGGTTTTCCTGACTGTGAGCTTTCCACGGACCAATAGCTGCCACGTCTGTCACATCCATTAATTCAGCAGCGTGCAGGCAAGTTTTACTACTGTTTCTGCAGGCAGCATGTTTACATCTCTAAGAAATATGTTTTGCATATCCAGACAGATTTATTTATATGGTGTATTACCCATGCTTTCCAAATGGATACAGTAGATTATGATTGCTCTTCATTACCCACGACATTACTAAGGAAAACGCTTCATAGCTTTTAACTAGATGTTCATCTAAGAGGGAGTTCAAGCTTTCTTGGTAAGGGTTACCACTTCCTGTGTTCAAAGAAAGAGGTGGAAAAAAAATCCTGCCTTTCAGTTTCTGGATCCCATGGTCCATAATGATCTGATCTGTCTCCCATAGGCGGGCCGTTGCTGTGGCAACCTGATGACGCTCTGAGGCAGATCAGGAGGACAGGGAGGGAGGGGCAGGGAGATGAGGAAAACGACAGCCGCACCAAAGATTGGATGGGATGAGCAGATGACTCACTCAGAGAAATAAATATAGAACTAAAAGATTTTTTTTTTTTATCCCTAGGTGACTTCACCAAATGTTTGGATATTTGATATGCATGTATAGAAATCCCTCAAATAACCAAAGGAAAATGCATTTATTTTACCATTGTAGATCAATTGCGAAAACTTTAATGAATCAAGTTTTTTTGTTTTAGTTTACCCTATTTTTTCAAATGTAATGGATTAAGAAAATCAAATGAAAAAATATTTTGCATACATTCTGCACTAAATATTTGAACATAAACTTTGTAGAAGGTTGAGCAATCACGCAGCTTTAACTTTGCATGTAGGTGAAACCAGAGGCATTATTCAGTACGCTAACTATTGGTGAAGCAAGTTGATAACACCTTTCAAATAGTTACCTAAGCTGTTTGCAAGAAAGTGTGAAAGCAACACAGAATGTGCGCCACTGATTTACCAAGTGAAAAACTTTTTGAAGTTTATTGCTGCAACTTTTTAATGGAGGTTTCCAAAGTGCAGGCATCAACTTACCAAACTGAGAATTGCTTTGATAAGTGAATTAATTTTATGTGGATTTTGAAAATAAAATCCTGATTGTAATACTTTAAAGGCCACTAACTAAGGCTATTCCAGAACTTTGTGTGACTGAGAAAATATTTAGAAAAGTTATTTGTTGTGTTTTTTTTTTTATATTCCCCATGCAATTTTTCCCAATAATTGAAATGTCTTTAAATACACATTGACATCAATTCAACACACTGTAGTAAACAGATAAATGGAGGCAGAAGATGTCTTTCAGTCATCAATGCACACATTCAGCGACACACAGGAGCTCTTTCAAGCTGGGCACCGTTTCATTCACAACACCTGTCCCATCAACCAGGAATCACAATCAGAAATACTTTAATAATCCCAAGGAAAATGTACTTTCGTTCCATTACTCCATCTGTAATAGAGTGACTATAGGACCAGTTTGATATAGTACATTTTCATACACTGTATATAAATAGGGGGTCCCATCTCCATCTCAACATCAGTTTGGGGGTCCTTGGCCTGGAAAACATTGAAGACCCCTGCAGAAGATATATTATAAGTATTGTAATGTGTTTGCTTTTATTCCCCTGAAGCAATAGACGATCTTTGGCTACATCTTCTGTATACAGTGGCATTCTTTCAGTGAATTGAACCCGCTTTAGGACCCAGGGCGGCCTCCGGGGGGAGTCCTCAAGCCGCTGGCGGGGCAAGGCAGGCAGGCAGAGCCCACAAACACATCCACGCACATCCACACACATCCAGTCAAGCCGAGCTCCTCTCCGACAGAGGAGAGAAGAGCGCACGGAGGGATAAACACAGGGAGACCAGAGGAACGCGGCAGCGACTCCAGTGCGCGCGCGTGTATGTGTGTGTGTGTGGGGTGCGCGCACGTGCGCTCGCTTCGCTCGGTACTCGAGACGACTAGCGGGGCGGACATGGAGGGGCTCGGGAAAAACGCTTGGAAGTGACCTCGAACCGAGGAGAAAATAGGGGAAAACGGACAGAGAGAGAAGAAGAAGGAGGACAGACTGACAGACGGACAGCTTGGACGGAAAGGAGGAGAGGAAGCAAGAGAAGAGAGGAAGAAAGAAGTCTTTACAGGAGAAAGAAGAGTGGGAAAGGGGTTCACCTGGAACTCGCAAGGATTTTAAGGTGACTCCATCGGGCTTTTAATGTGTTGTATCTAGGTGTGCTGAAGGTGCGCGTGTGTCGCTGAAGGAAAGTGTCGGTGGTTCGGTTGTATGTCTGCGTGAAGCCTAATGTGCGCGCAGCCTCAATCTGCTGTCGTGAGTTAGTTATGGATGTTGTTTCCCCACCAACTAAAAAAAAAGGGGCACCAAAAAAAAAAGTGCACTGGAAGTGACCACTGCAAACTGGAGTGAAGGGATCAAAAGGAGTGGCTACTTTTTAGGGAACAGCCTGATCCCATTCCAACAGACGCGCACTTCTCTGGTATGTTACTTTTAAGTTGAGCAACAGTAAACAATCCATCATTTTCAGCCTCCTTTTTTTAAAACTCAAATCTCTCTCTCTCCATGTGTTTGCATCTTGGTGTGGAGTTTGTCCTCCACCAATGCACACTTCTCTTTGCTTGCATTTTGCACAAACAGCATGGAAATCATTTTATTTTCTCCTGTTCAGCTGTTCCTCAGCAAAGCTTTAATAAGTAGTAGCAGCTCCAGTGTGTGCATGTGTTATTATGCATCTATATATGTGTGTGTGTTTCTGTGCCATATACGGCAAACAGGTTGAGAGGAGGCAGATCTGATCAGACGCACAGCAACAGAGGAGAGAGCGTGGCACAGGCTGAGCGGCAGCACACTGGATTACACACAAACGACTACACACCACAGCTCTGGGGCCGGGAGAACAGCTGGGAGAAATGTGTGCATGTGTGTGTGTGAGCCTTTCACTTTAATACATGCGTCTGCCTTTACACGTGCAGCCCTGTTTGCTCTCATATTATCTCCTGCTGCCATGTGATTGAGCCTGTGTCCATCTGATGCTCTGTAAATATGCACGACCAGGGGTGTTCAGTCATCTCCCTCAGACAGACGGCACGCATCCATCCACCTCCATCCGCCAACCCCGGTCTGGAGGCAGGGCTGGTCGGATCACCGGGAAGGAGGAGGAGAAGGAGGCGGAGGAGGAGCTGAAATGCAGACGAGGTGGAAAGAGAGGATGATGGAGATTTTTTAGGACAGGAGAGAGAGGAGATGTGAAAGGAGAGGCGCCGAGATGCTCTCTTTCTCTTCCTCTCCAGGAGTGCTCAGAGTGTCGCTCATTCATAATTCACCTCTATGGCAAACGTTCATTCATATATTGACCCCCCCCCATGGCTGCGCTCAATGGAGTTCTCACCCCCCCTCCACCTCTTTCTGTCTCTCAATGCACACCCCTGTTGCTATCTGTTCAGTTATCCCTTCTTTTTCACCACTTTCTCAGACACTAAGAAAAAAAAAGTATTTTTTTGTTGTTTTTTTTAATTTATCTGGCCGCTCGGGTTGTTCGACACCAGCAGTTTTTCAGCCGGAGCCTCTTGTGTGAAATTGAATCGTGTAAATTGAATATTGAACTCAGACTCCACCCCTACACACAGATAATTGGTTAGGATGGATCAGTGGGTTAGTGCTCTCAGTACAGCTGTTTGACTCATTCCCCTGAACCCCAGCTCAAACAGTCCATAATGGATCCATAATTCATGGGTGAATGAATTGAATTGTCTGTGTTTTGAATACAAGCCTCAGACGGTTTTCTTTGGATGCCTGCTCATGGTTTATTCAGCTTAAACACTCCAAAAGAGGCTCGTTTTAACATTTCTGTTTGTGCTAGCAGGGCCTGCCTTGAGCTGCACAATCATCAGCCACTGCTGAGATTTGGTCAGCTGTGGCTGCCAGCCATATGGCGATGTGTGTCTAAAATGCAATGTCAGGTGAAAGCGTACAGCAGAGGCTTATGGTACATTTAGTCCTGTAAGGTAAATGTTACGCTAAGCATTACCTTATCAGCAGAACTGATAAAAATACCTTGACCCTTTAAGTTGTTGGGGTATGATGGAGTGTATTTACCCAGTAAAAAGAGGACAAGATTTGTTGTGCGTTGGTTAAAAGTCTGTTCTATTTTTACTGTGCAGGAAGGGAGCACTAAGTTTAGGTAAAGCTATGGGATGAACACCTTCAGAAAGATCTTTAATATACTTGTATTCATTCTTAGGCTGCAACTAACGATTATTTTGCAAATTGATAAATCTGTGGATTCTTTTTCGATTATTGATCAGATACCTAAAGCTTCTTTAAAGAGGACTTTTTACGAAAATAAACATGGTGAAGCTAAAACTTTTCCACTTGAGGAGTTCTGAATAGAGTATATTGACATGAAAAATGTTTTATTTTATCCATCCATCCATTTTCCATCACACTTTATCCCAGCTGGGGTCATGAGGGGTGCTGGTGCAGAGGCAGGGTCCAACCTGGACAGGTCGGCAGTCCATCGCAGGGCAACACAGACACAAACAGGACAGAAAAAAACATTCCTGCACACCTAAGAAGAATTTAAAGAAGCCAATTAACATAACAGTCATATTTTTGACAGTGGGAGAAAGCTGGAGTACCCAGTGAGAACCCATGCATGCTCAGGGAGAACATCCAAACTCCATACAGAAAGGCCTCCCGGCTGGGAATAGAACCCAGAAACTTCTTGCTGCAAGGCAGCAGTGCTACCCACTGCACCACTTAGCAGCTTTTTATTTGATCTTAAATGCAAAATGTTTATATATCTATATATTTTTACAATTTTGGTAGAATAATTGCTCTAAGTGGGTTGCTCTGTCAGCTAAAAGCTTTCGTTAGAGTCTTTATATTCCAGTTTAATCGATTACTAAATTAGTTGACAATTAGTTGACATTTATACATACTGCAGAGTAGTGATCATTTAATCAGGTTTCTTTAAATTGCCCTTTACTAAAGGAGTTCTCAAAATATCTCAGTGCTGAACATGCATTCGTCAGATTTCTGGCCAATTCCCTGCCTCTGACCTTTATAGGTTTTTGACATGTCAGTATCAATTTTACCGTTTCAGATTTCACAATTAACTGCATTCAAAATATATTCTCTAACCATCCTTCCACAAGTCAGCTTTTAGTTCCTTTGTATCATTGGAAGAGATTAGTTCATACTGGTTGAGAGAGAGAAATGTGAAAGGATTTTCATTCAACAATAGGTTGTTTTCTATTAGAGATGGGATAAAAAGTTTGTTAATAAGAAGAATTGAGCTTTCATTTTTTTATTACTGAGGTTATTACTAACGAATCTGGAAATAAAATTTATATAATTCAGCCAAATCAGAAAACACGCCATAGCAACCGCCTAATGCCATCGGCTGTGGCCTCAAACCAGTGTTGTCGCACCGGGTGATAGGCTCTCGTCTGATTGGAGCTAAAGAGATTGAGTTAAATATGTAAGAGATATGCGGCCATGCTTTGTCTCCAAGAGGGTAGTTGACTTTTTGAGTGGCCTAAAAATTGTCCGCATCTAAGGAGGTGTCAATCACAAGGGGCAACAGTTGCAGGAACTGTTCGTCAACTGGATTCTGCTCGTCATCTCTTGAAATTTGCAGTCTTTATGAAGATGCACAGCCATTTCTGTTGCTATGGCTCTCTGTTTCAATGTGTAGATGCACCATGTTGGTTCACCAATCTCCTGGAATGACATCACTATTCCGGCATTGGTATGGGCAGAAAAACACATCCGGCAAAAGAGTGTTTTTCTTTTAAAAGAGCAACCGCCTATCTCAAGACTATAGTAGCAGCAGTAGTTAACAACAGGAGAGAACTTTCAATTAAAAATTTCTGCATCGAAGGTCTCCAGACTACAGGTGGCTAACAGCTGTATTATCTGGTCATCGAGTTCTGACATCTCCAGAGGAATCTCAGGCCTTTTAAGTTTGAAGGAACTTTCAAGGGCATTTAATTTTTCTTTGAACCACCAACCTTATGCACAGCTGCAGATCAGCTGAAGATGATGCCTTACTTTGGTTCCTTCAGGGACAGAAGAGCAAAATGTGCGGAAATATGCACAGTTGACAGAAACTCACAGCTGGTACTTAAGGTGCCTTGCTGTTGTAGCGATGGAATGATGCAAGTTGCCACCAAAACCCTAATTTTGATTTTAGTTTCTAGACAAAAAACTTTTAAAGTCAAAAGATCATTAAACATCATGATAATTATTGGTTGTTTTTCTAAAGGAGGGAGATTAACTCCTTATTTCATTTGTTGATCAAATTGACAGTTGCTTTTTGTTGAATCACCGCACCACCTTTAGCCTGGTTCTTCAGAGTTTGAGGCTGTTTTTTTTTTTTTTTTTTTGAAAAGTCCAAACTGCAGGGTATGGCATTCAAAATTAGTATCAGATAAGATAGTCAAAGCTCTAGTAGTTCTGATTGATCCTATGGGCTCTTTGTTATTTGAAAAACATGTAATTTTGATATTTTTGCCTAAGATTGCAAAAAAAAAACTTCCATTTTCCTCCCTCCTTTTCTTAACTATCACTTTCTCCAGGTCAGGGACAATCTGTTCAAATATCTATGTATATTATTAACACATATAGTGTGAATGAAAGGGAACTGCCTTTAAAATATTGAATCCAAGCACTGCTTTCTCTCAACAGTTGGATTTTGAAAATGATTTAGAACTTATGTCAGTATTATTTGTGAGGCTTGTTTGGTCTATACCTCTTCATTTGGTATAGCTGCTTACTTTACCTTTGACTTGCACAATCACTGTAACGGTACACCCTAATGTTATAGTTGTTGTCTTCCTTAATGTTTGTTGGGTTCAAAGATTGATCCTAAGAGGACAATGAAAAAAACAGCCCTCTTTGATCGCGATTGATCCCATCCAAGAATCTGCTTGGCAATGTTGGCACATCGTGTAGTTCTGACATCAGGTTCCCCCAATTTTCCATCCACACGCAGAACCATAACATGCAGTATTAAGAGTGTGCCACTTCTGTTTCAGCAAAGTAGGTCATTGCACTGGCACTTCCATGGAGAGGGGTAGAATTTCCACTGGATCACAGAGTTTAAAATTATTACACTAATAAAGTCCTTGTAGACCAATTTTGGTCAGCCTCACTGGCCGGACGAGGTTTTATTGG